CTCCCGGTGCCAAGGTCTAGGCACACGCCATAACCAAGGGTCCTGCTCCACAAAACCTAGCTTCTTAAGGCCACGACGCACCAAGCCCAAAGTGCTATGAGCAGCGTTATGCCACTCGTTCTGGAGGCCTAGACCTCGGTCAGTCCTGAGTCGCTTCCAAGCCTGATTCAGGACGACGGTGCTGAGCAACACAGGTCCGCCGTACATTAACTTCCTGAGCGCTCGAGCAGCAAAAAGCCCAGTCCTGAACGCTCTACAGAGCAGCGAAAACAACTTCTCACTACTGCCGAGGGTTGGAAACCTGCCAACCCAGCCAAAAGAAGCACGGTTAATGACAAACGCCCGATGGGCGAGGATCATACGATCCCAAGCCAGGCCGGTAGTAGCCAGCAGAGCAGCCTGCTGCTCCGCTGCAGCAAGTCTGGTCCGCTCAACCTCACTGTATTGCCGAGGCGCACTGACCGAATGGGCGCCCAAAATACGAATGTCAGACTTGATCCAGTCCGGCTGTCCCTGTAAGCACAGGATTTGCTTAAAGACTTTGCCGCGGGCAGAGATTTGGATTTTCTCCGGAGCCTCTTTCAGGCCCATAACACCCGACCACTCCCCCCAACCGCGGATACGGTTGCGGACCCCGTCCCAGGAAGTAGTGAACCAAGACCTGTCGTCCATATAGCACGACAAAACAGCGTTGTGATCCCTCACAAGGCTTTCAACTTGACGAACACCAGCGCTGACCCATAAGGAAAGGCAGAAAGGCGCGAGTGGACACCCTTGCGGGGTGGCGGAGCCGGCAAACAACTGCGTATCATGGACATGCTCAAGCAAACCAGGCTTGCCGCAGAGGAGAAACGGCGCGGGCCGGGGAAGAATCCGCCCCGGCGTCGGCCTGTTTCGTCACCGATCGGCATGATGCCGTGCTACATCCAAACGACCACAACAGAACTGTCGCAGACAGTGTGCAGTTTTGGATCAACATCGGGTCGAGGTTACAGCTTGTGTAAAACAAAGAGGTGGTAGAGTGTTCGGAGGCAGTCGGATTCATCCATCACAGCTCGCAATACGAGTACGAAGGTCAGCAGTGAGTTGGTTTTGAAAGTCCTCATGCGGATTGATGTCAGGGATTATGGAATTTGGAGTCATATGGCGTCATGTTGTACCATTCACAAATCATCAAAGCCTTTGTGACATGCCTGTGAGCCTTTGTCCATCGGAGTCTGAGTGAACCAAGTACATGATTGACTGCACAGACTGCGAGCAACACGACTGCGAGCAACACGAGCCGATGGTAGTTAGGTAGTCTTTTCTTCAGAACAAGCGACTATACAGTTGACATCCCGAACCCCGATTCAGTATCGCCGTAAATGCAAAGACGGTTCGACAAAGCCATTGCAACAGTGACTGCGTAGAGATCCGCACGAAAACAGGACTGACCTTTGCCAATCAAAATGTGTTCTCCGAACCCGTAGTTTCCGCGAGTGCTACAATCTGCTATAACCCAGACACATACGTGACATGACGACTACCGGGCCGAGCCATGTGCAAAAATGTGTTTGACGGCTTGCATAGATACCTCCACCGCATCTGGAATCTTGGAAGGTTACTTAAAGGTTGTGTGGTTGGGCAGTGGAAATAGCGGTGCAGCATTGAATCAGGCTGGCCACGAAAATGCACGAACCATCTCGTTTGGGGTTTGTCAGCGGAAGTGCCGGAACCCACCCGAACCTGTCCTAGAACCGACCCCGCCCGAGAACCGTCTCAGAACCCACCCTTAACCCACCCCGGAACCGCCACGGAACCGTCCCGGAACCTGCCGGAGCCCTTGCGCCAATCTGCCAAAGTTCGGCTGAAGACCGCAAAGCTTACGCTGTTGGGGAACAAACCAACAACACTCTTGTTTTTGATCAGTTGCCAAAAAAGGTTTAGGGCTCGGCAAATGCCATCCGGTATGCATTTAGTGCTCGGTTGCGTCACAACTGATGAGAAAATGTCCACACTGCAGGGTTCTTCAACTGCAAAATCCGCGCAAATGCAGCAGGCCCTGGACCCCAGCAGGCCCGCCTGAAACTGAGGACCAAGCGATCCAAGCTTCTTGGGGGCAGATTCTGGCAGGTTCCGGGCGGGTTCAGGGCAGGTTCCGAGGCGGTTCTGGGGCGGCAGTGTTCCCAGACAGGTGCTTCCGACCAACCCCAAATCCATTTCCTGAAGCCTCCTAAACCTGGTTTCAACAAATGTCGGGTTCATTGCCGTTCCTAGATCTGAAATTCGTGCTGCAAATGCTTTAGTTCCAGGGAGCCCCAAATGCACTTCAAGGCTTGGAAAGCTGCTTCAGCTTTGCTGGTGTTCGTGGCCCCATACCCCGAACCGAATCGAGCTCCCCAAGCCTCTGACCAACACCAGACGCATTTCCCGAGGCCTGCTAAACGCATGTGCCCTTCATTTCAGAGGCTCAGTGCTTCCAGGAATGGGGCCGGGAACACCAGCAAAGCTGAAGCAGCTCCTAAATGCGCTTTCCTTGCAGGGACGGTGAAATCGAGTTCCCAAGCCTCCGACCAACCCCAAATGCATCCTAAACGCGTTTGGCCCTGGTTTCAACAAATCTGGAGCTCCATGCCGTTCCTAAACCCGAAATTCGTGCTGCAAATGCTTCACTTTGTGGTCTCCAAGGCACCAAAATGAATTTTCAAGGCCATTTAGCCATCCCAATTCACAGAAGGAGTTTCCTTTCTGTAGGAAGATGCAACTAGCCACACCAAACAACGCCAAGTTGTGGCAAACTCGAGCCCGAGACCGGACTCCTTCACATCTTACTAACCAACCATGGACCATGGTGGTTGAAGGCCTCTGCTCCCGAGTCTGCCTTTCAGGGTTTGGGACGTTGGAGGTGGTGAGGATTGAGGCTCCAAGAACCAAGACTTGCCCTCCAAATTAGGGTCAAACCGAAAAAGAAACGGAACGACCCGGAAGAGCCTCGTTCAAAAAATCCATGCCGGCAGGGGCTTGCATCTATAGTTTTCTTGCTGAGGTCTTCGGATGCACGCTTTTCAGCCCCGTCCACTTACGGGAGTATGCCGTGGCGATTGGCTCGCTGGTAGCCACTCTCACCGAGCTTTACGAGCCTTTAGGCATCAACGACAACGCCTGCTCCTCAAGGGCTTTCACGGCTTTATTGCTCCGCTGCTTTCATTTTTGCTAATGCTTTCTTCCAAGGTGACCATTCCGCTTCTAAGAATCTTGGCATCAATCAGAGTTGTGGGGGCGAAGCCTAAGCACCTCTGCAGCCTTTTGGCCCCTGATTGTCAGGTGGGGTAGCACTGACCTTCGGCTTCGCACGGACATACTCCTGCGAGCCAGCACGAAGCCCTCTGCTGTGGTATCTCTAAAATTTCCGGCTGCAGCGCCTGCGGCCTCTGCGGCCTCGTGGTAGCCGACAGCATTTGGATCTGCGATTTGCAAGGAGACTAATTCAGGTTCCTTGGATTTCACAGTTCCTTTCCCTGATCTGCCACGAGAGGTGAGCACGATCACACGGGGCATGCAGCCCATTCGAGCTTCTGCCTTCCACGCGAAAGCCCTAAGCTTGTACCACATGCTGTGTACTCTTGGGCGCTCTGTTCCCACCCCGCCCGTTCCTAACAATATCTGATTCGTCAGTGCAGCAGATCGAGACTTTCGAGTCACCACTCACTCCCACCGTAGGATAATCTATCTTAAGATCCATATTTGGAAAGTCTGTCTGCCGTTGATATATTATATACAGTTTCTCTGTTGATTGGTGGATTTTCGTGCTCAGTCAGCGTCGTATCTTTCGGGAAGCATCGTCAAACCACAACCTTGACAGTTAAAGGAGCCTTACCGTGCTGTTTTGTCCCGTGTCTTTGCATTGATCTCGTCCTTGTTCTTTTCACGGTATCGTCGTTGCTATTCAGGGCACCAGCTGCATGGTAGAAAGCCATCAAACTTGTCTTTGCTACTGCATTCTTGGAATTCGTTGCCCATTACTGAAAACAATGGTGAATGTTGTCGTTGGTTTCTGACAGACTTATCTAAGCATTCAGAACAAGTCAAGGTAAGTTTTATGTAGCAATAAGAGTTTAAGACGGTGTACCAACGCATGATGAACGTGTGAACCAGCAACAAGATAGTTAACTTGCTTACAACGATAGCACCTCTTAGTAACACTAATGCCTGGTTCACTGTCTGCTCCAAAATCATCCTTGTCTGCCTTTACTTGTATAACTGTATAAACTATAAATATTTTCTTGATTGGCATCATGTTGTTGCATAATACAGGATTATGCAAAGGCGCTCGTTCCGGAAGCTTTACCGGAACGAATTCGCGAAGCAGTTAGCACATGCGGGCGACATCGGCAGGACTTCGATTCTGAATTGTCTTAATTTCCACACTTGTATGGTGCGCTTTTGAATATTTCAGAGGATCGATCTGGCTTCTGTTTCATGGGGTGGTGTCTGAACTAAACTGTGGCATGAATCAGCTAAAAAATTTTCAGTCTAACGGTTCAGTCTTTCGAAACTTTTCAATTCTCTATACCTGCATTATCGATTCTGTCGCTGACTTCTTTTGGTGTGCTGTTACTTCCTATCCTTTTGTCCCCATCCCGTGTCGGCCATTGACACATCTGATGATTGAATTGCAGCTTCATTTGTGAACGAAATACGTATTCACCATTACTGCGGACGCTAGTACGATCTTCAATAACGCTCACCACCGCCTCATTATCTTAAGTGGTTGTTGTGGTTGTTTCCTCCTGTAATGTGTTACGCAATTTCATCCATCTTTGTTGAATTCAGTGCCGCCATTGTTTCTATCAGTATCTTCTTTTCATTGTCTTCAGTTTTACATTCTGTAAAGCTGCGCCATACACCGAAACCGGCAAGGTGTCGTCTAAGTAAGACTTGGTGCCCAAACAGCTTTGGAGTTGGCTTCCAATTGAGACGGATCCTGCAGCCATCTCGAAGTGCTCAGTGCAGTTATCGGAATGGGAGACGGGGCCGGACGCCTTTCGATTTCCGAGTTTTGGCAGCAAGTGGCACCCTTGCGAAATAGCGAGCAGCGCAGAGCCCGCGGTGCCAGGCCAGATCCTTTCCCAGAGTGCTGCCTCCGTGCTGACCTGAGCCGGGCTCGACCTTTGCGCCTTTGCTGTCTGGGCTGCTGCAGGTTGCCTGAGGAGCCGAAGTCCTCCGAGGTCCTTTTTCCCGGATGCCCCTCCTACCTGTGTTCTACGTCCCACGGCCTTGCCAAGGCACAGCGTGAGCGAGGCTTCCGGCGTGATGGCCGGGCAGGAGCATTGCACATCAAGCGACACACACACACACACGCACATGGTTTCAGAATAGTTGCAAGGCGGTCGTCGATGAAGTGAGTCCTCGTAGACGACTTGCTCAGCCAGGCGTGGAAGGCGAAGATACGGAGAACCGGCCACCGTACCGTGGCACAATGTTTGGTAGAGCCTCAAAGCCAGCGGACACCATTCCGTTTCTTTTTCGAGGCGAATGAATGTCGGGGAGAGTGCCATCGAGAAGGTATGTCCTCTCCGGTAACATGCCGTCCCCCCCCGTCCCGCAGCACACGTCGTGTGGTGCGACCTCAGGCTTTGGAGGATGTGCAAACGGCTTTGAAGGCCTGCGCTCGGCGTGCTTGGAGTCCTGGCACCACTCAGAGCCCAGGCCACGGAGAACTTGCGCCTTCGCGGACGCATGTCACACCGTGGACTCCGTGCACCGACACACCGACCTCTCACGGACCGGAGTGGCGGAAATGGTGGAAACGAGACAGAGAGATCCTGCGAGGGCTTCGCGGCTCAGGAGGCAGGGCCGACAGAGTCCAGGGCTCTTCGCTCTCTTTGCACTCCCCCTTTTGCTGCAGGACAAAGCAAAGCATGAGGATGCAAGAAGCTGGCTACGCCAGCCGAAGATCGTAAGTCGCGACCGCGACCCAGGCGCCTATCGTGAGACCTGCATCATGCTGCTCTCTTCCCGCTCCAGCAGGAAGGCGCCGCGCCAGCACGGGCTCTATGTCCCAGGCCTTTCCAAGAAACATCTGACGTCTGTCCTTTCAAAGCTCTCGCAGGTTGTCACCACACACAGTTCCCTTAGGCCCAGGCTAGCGCTAGCCGCCGCTCCCTCGAAGACCGAGTTCAAAGTCTTTTCAGCTTCGTGCTGGCGGCCAGCCGCCCGCGGCAGCTGAGGCCTCGGAAGCCTTGGCGCAGGCGCGGCGGCTGCAGAAGGCGCGGGGGGCGCGGCACTGCACCGCGCATCCGCATGCTGTTTCGGCCGCCTCTGTGTCGCGGCGGAGCCGAGGAGCGCGTGCGGGCCGAAGAGAGGTCCCGTCGTTTCTCGCTGAGCATCTCCGACCGGCTGCGAAGTGCTGGATTCTCGGAGCTTAAAAGAGGCAACAGGCCGCTGTGGGAAGAGCTGCGAGGTTTGCAGATGACGCTGTCTGAGCTGTGCCGATGGCTGCGGAATTCGCGCGGGCCCGCAGCGCTGCGGTCCCCGCTGTGCAGTGCAGTTTTTTCTTCTGACAATTCGTTGCAAAGTGCAAGAACGGCATCGCTCTCTCCCAAAAAGTTCGAAAAGCGAGGCGCAGCACATGCAAATCACAAGCGCGCATCACGGCGGTGTCATTACGGCGGTTCCAGTTCGCCTCAAGCTGCAGGGCTGCGGCGTGGGGGGGCCGGGCTGGAGGGCAGAGCCCAGGCAGCCCAGGCAGCCCGCAGGGGGCCTGGGAGGGTTTCGGCTCCGCCATGGAGCAGTGGACCAGCGGTGCTGGCCTAGCGGGAGCGGAAAGCGATGCAGATCAGCACCAGGCCTGCCGCCCGGACCCGGACGCGGACGCGGAGAGAGCGTGAGAGGAGTCCGCCGTGTTGCGGTTGTGGCTGTGCTCTGCTGTGCTCTGCTGTCAGATGCTGTGCTCGGCTCCAGAAGCCCCAGAGACAGCCGCCCGGCTCTGTGAGGGAGGCGCGAGGCGTTCCGGATGTGTCCGGTCGGTCGGAGCAGCGGCAGTTTCTGCAGAGGCAAAGGGGAGAAGAAGCCTTCAAGGACGCAGTCAGATCGCCATGTCTTATGCGGGAGGCTGGAGGCTGGGCTCGGAGGGTCTAGAAAAGCAAGCAGCGATGCTGAATCTAATGAACACGATTCCGGCCTTGTGCTAGCCAGGCACCAGGGTGCCATACAAGAGGAATGATCTCGCACCGAAGAAACCCTAACTTCAGCACTAGTTGTGAGCCCAAAATTGCTTTGTCTGCTTCGCTTGTTACAAGGTTTGGTTTCTTGTTTCGCATGCGGTTCAGGATCGGTCGGCACGCTTGGAGTTTTGTGACTAGCAGTTCTCAGGACAGGATGCATTACGGGCTGGAGTCCCAGAGTCTTCGGTCCTCTGGCACCAGCGAGCCAGTGCTTGAACGTCAGGCGTGCACAGCGCGTCTGTTCGGTCTAGGCCGTGACGGGTGATGTGCTTCCTGGAAAGAAGAAGCCCGTAACGTAGAGTGCAGAGTGCAGGCAGACATGGTGCCTGGGAAGAGGCATCCGCAAGAAAAGTTTGCAGTGTTGTGCTCTCTGCCTCCTTTTTGTCTGATGTCCCTGATGAAATGGCGTGACCGTTTTGGCCCAGCACGGAAACACGCATTGAAGCCTTCCTCCGCTAGAGAAAGCGGCATCGCCAGAGGCAGCAGCCGAGGGTGTGAAGCAGTTTTCTGTGTGTCCCCCGGTGCGTCTCAGGCAATGGCTGCTGGTCAAGAACAAGAGCCTTTGGATGCCGCGAAGCAGCGAAAAGACTGCAGCACAGGGCCCAAAAGAAAGAGCTGAACTCAGGTGGCCAAGGGCGAGGCCGCTAAGGGGAAGAAGAAGGCGCCCGAAAGCGGCACCGTGCAGTCAAACCTTTGCCTTCTGAGTGGAGATTTGCGAGGCAGGTGCCAAGGCAACTGCGAAGGCGGCAGGAGCGGATCCCGGGCTCTCGGAAATAGGAGAGGTCTCTGAGCTGCCAGGAGGTCCGATCTTCATGCCCCCGCAGGCGCTGAGCGTGGCGCAGGCAGTTCAACACAAAATGCTTTGCTGATAGGCACAGGTGCTTCAGCCCACGGTGCAGGTGCAATGCGACAATGCGACCTGTCAGAAGAGCTTGGACACCTGCAGCGTGCGCCGAGGTGCCTCGGCGCTTCCCTGGACACTTCATGCCGCATCGGCACCTCGGCCCAACATCAAACAAAGGCCCGCTTTCTTCTTGACGTGCTTGCTGCCGCAGGCTGTGCAACCACTGGAATCTGCAGGGCTGGTGCAAAAAGGCTGAGGCGCAAGCAAACACAGCGAAGGGGGAGACTTTGTAGAGACCTCTGATCTTGCTCATTCTTGCCTTCTCGACTCTTGAGTTTCAATTTCCTTGCCTGGCTCCGTCTGAATTCGTGCAGACCTGCACCTTTGCGCACGGGATCGAGGAGCTGCATCCAGATGCCCGGGCACTCGGCGTCCGAAGTGGCTGAAGGAAGAGGATTCTTGTCGTCTCTGGAGGTTCAAGCACAGCTGCTCCAGCAGAAGTTGCGTCCTCGGTTTGCTCGGCCTGCTCGGCCGAGTGCAGAAAGGACTTGAAGCGCGCTTTTTTTGTAAGGCCTGGCATGCCACCACCAACGGTGGGCTGCTCTGGTGCGTATTTTTGCATCCTTTCTTGCCCCGCCCTCTGCTGCGAGGTAACGAAGGACGGCCGCTTGGTCGTCGGCCGCACAGGAACAGGATGTTGGGTTCGATCATCACCTGCTGTGTCAAAATATTCTGCTCAGGTGCATGGTGTCAGCACAGTGTCGAAGCCTGCTGGGAAGGCAAGACAAGTCCTGCAATTCCCTTTCATATTGCGCTTCCCTGAGCGAGTGGCTGCTCAGGTGGCAACTGAAACACCAGTGGGTCTGGAACTTAGCTGTGTCGGACAATGACGGAGAGCTCCGCCGCTCCGCCCAACCTCGTAGGTTATCCGACGGCCCAGATGCAGTCGGCCCTCGCCTCCCTCTACGGTGCACAAGCGAACTCACTGCTCGGTTCAGGCCTGGGCAAAAAGAAACCTCAGTCTCCCTTTTTCTGTGAGTTTCCTTTTCCTTTCTTCGGCACTCGGCGCAGGCACGACCACTGCCACCACCCTGACCGGTCACAGCCCCTTTGTCTCCAACTTCCCTTTCAACCTGACCCCAGGCCCGGTGTGTCCGGTTTCCTCAGATCTCTCGCCTCACTTCTCTGTCCAGCTGAGGCACGCAAGCACTTCTGCCGCACCTGTCGCAGCCCGGCCTCTCGGACGTGAAGGCAGGGACGAAGACGATGAGAAAGCATCATGGCAACAAAACGGGTCAGTCTTCACAAGTTTCCCGCTGCACGGGAGGGGACAGGCTTCCACGATCGCCGAGCTTCCAACGGTATTTCCAGTGTTAGCAGAACGCCATGTGCTGCCAATTTGCGCTGCATTGCCAACTGCTGGGGCGCTGCATTGGCCCCATTCCCTTCCCTCCCTCAGTACTTCCCTTCGCTGTTCGCGTGGACTCGCCCCGTGCTATGTCCATCCATGGCTGTTTCGCTACTGGCAAAGGGTCCCAGCAGGGGTGACTCCTCAGCAGAGCATTCCGCTACCTGCGCCAGGAGAACCTGAGCGACCCAGAGGCGGGACACAACACCCCAAAGACGCATGTCTACACATCCATGATGTACATGTGTGCGTGTGGTGTCTCCGAGGATGGGCAGCTTTGCTCCAGCTCACCGGGCCAGCGCCCCAGAAGCGATACAGCGAGCCACACCCTCCTGATCCTCGTGAGGAACCCCGAGCAAGCGTGTGACGGGCCGTCCGGCACCAGCACCTCTATCGCCCTGCTGGCGTGATTCGCGATTGGCCCTGTGCTTCGTTGTTCCTCGCAGTTGGGTTCTCGAAGGCTCGATGACATCTCTCCAGCAGACGGCCAAGCAATGATGGTTCGACCACTGGTGTCCCCGAGTGTCACGGCCTTAGTAGCGCAGGCTCCGTAGGCGCGCGTCCTGTGCTGGGCCCCGGCGGGCTGGGCCGTACAACGGTGAGGTTGCGGCTCATTACACCACGATCAGGCGCGCGAGAGTTGGGAGCGGCCGCAGGGAGCGGCCTTTGCCTCTGTCGTCTGCCGCAATGCAGGACCCAGCCGATGGCTTCGCAGGGGCCTCAGCAAGCAATGCCTGAGCGACTGCGGTGGCTCTTCTGCGGCCTTTCCGAGGCCCATGCGCGTTCCTTTGGTATCTAGGCACGCTTCGCCACCCTTTCACCATTTTTTTGGGTGTGCAGCTGTGCTGGCTGTTCTTCAGGCCGCTCCCTTCTCCGATTTCAACAGGTTTGACTCCTACTGCTGGCGCAATGTGCCTGCCTCAAAGCGATGCTGGCGATGGTTTGAAAACATCGAACGTTAGCCGTTAGCCAGGTCCAACACTGCGACATCTGCCATGGCCTCGTATGTTCAGCTTCGCCCGAACTTCGCCCGCGTCAGTCAAGCGCAGGTGGCCATGGCTGCGATCTCAACGCCCAAAGCTGCGCAGGTGGCCATTGGGCCATGCCCCAGAGTGTCCCGTTTGCCCAGCGGTTTCGACACAGGTGCCATCGCTGACCAGTCCCGCGAGGGTGCGCCTAAGTGCCATCCTCCGCCCTCCCCAGTCCCGGAGTCCCGGAGTCCCGAGCGTGAATCGCGTGCGCTTCGACGTCCGCCTGCTCCGGAGGTCACTGCGCACTTCAGCGTGCGCACGCCCACGAGTGGCCTCGTATGGCTCCTCGGCAAGTGCCAGAGTTGCAAGTGCAGACCCGACACTACAGACCGTGCAGACTTCAGGCCAGGCTCACCAACAAAAGTGTCATAGCCTTATGCAGCTGGAGAATCATGATCGCTTGCACTCGAAACGGCTCGGCACCATTGCGGAGGATCTCGCCATCCGCCAAGCCAGCGACACCCGAAGTGGCCCCAGAGAGAGAAGCACAGACGATGCTGTGAGACTGTGGTGGCTGAGGTCCCGATTGACAGGAGCACACTGCTTCAGGCGAGACAGGTCGCAGTTCGGCTGGATCAGGGCCCTCCAGGACACACGAGACAATGAGCCTTGTTTGGATGTTGTTGTCCGTTTTCATTCCGATCCGACGTCACAGGACTGGCAATGTCCTGCACTGAAAGATGGGCATTGCCTGTCTTTCTGTCTCTTCCTTGCGTCGGTTCTGAGGTGGGCACCCACACCGACGACGAAGGTTGACAATGCTGCGGGCTGAAACACTGCCACCTTGCCTGCTGCCAGGCGGGTGCTTTGGGCTTCCGCTATCCTGCACCAGGCACAAACGCATAAACTCCTCGCTGACTTTCAGTCTCCTGGCGCAGTGCCAATCAGGATATGTGTCTGTGGCCCCAAGAACACCAGGAGCGTGAAACTTCATGTACAGTTGCAACGTGTTTCGCACCGTGCTTTATAAGCGCGCTGTGTCTGGTCGTCCATGGCTAACTTTCAATTTGGCTGATGTGTTGAACTCCAGCACGTGCAGACTGTACCATTTGTGCTGCAAGTACTCAGACTCTGCAGCATGAACTTTTGCTTTATCCCTTGTGGTTATGTACCTGGCATTGAGCACCGTGCCCTGGAAAGCACAGCTCGCAATTTGATTGCTCAATCCAGGTATCGCCGAGGGTGCAAATAGCACTCTTGCTGACACTGCCCTTGTATGCAGCCACTGATGCTGATGCTGATTTGCTGGTTATGCCAGGAATTATCGGGATGTTGCAGTCTGATTTACTCCGCTGTCTTTTGTTTGTCCTTATGGAACTTTTAATTCCAAGTACGAACGGTACTATTTAGGAACCTTGGCACCTTGGTGTGCTTTGACAGAGCCATTGAAGCTTGGCCTGTCTTCTGGCAAAGCCCTGCCTTACCGTTTGACCCAAGCGTTTGCTCCTGATGCTCTCACTCTCTTCAGACTCTTCAGACTCTGGCAGGTGCGACGCGAGTTGGGTCAAATCTGGGGCTTTTTGGCCAGATGCATGTCTTATTTGCATGTCGACTAGTTATACTCAACGGCTCTTTGACCGTGGAAGTTTTCTCTCCCGTCCATTGCGGATGTGGAATCAATGAATCAAACCGCAAGCGGGATTCATCAACCGTTTGCCACAGGCACAGAGAAAAAGGCTGGAATAGACATCGATGCAGTACAGGGCACAGGGCACCGTATGTTGAGTCGCCTGTAGGCTCTCGGCATCCTGCAAGATCTCCAGAGCCGTGGGTTCCAGATGGATGCTGTTCTCTGCTCCTCGGCGCAAAAGGTGGCATGAAGGACCAGGCACCATGTGAAAGACTGCGTCGAGTGATGTGCCGGACATGCAACGTTTTGGAGGTGGTGGTTCCGCAGTTTGGCACCAGGGTGCCTAGGAATGATGATCGGGTTTTGTTTGTGTGATCCTGGTGTACATGCGACATGTTCTGCATCACTTCTTTGGGGTTCTGACGTTTTCGATTCGTGTTTGATACTTTTGTTTTTTCCTTTTTCAGATTTTATCATGCAGGGGGCGTGGCGGTCACATCCTAGCCACGCCAACGAAGCTACGCATGTTGACTGGATGGGCTCACAGACGTGTGAGCCGGTACCCTGCAAAAAGGCTGGGCCCCTGTGCCAGCAAGATGAGAAAAGGCATTTGGCCACTGTTCTTCACTCAGGCAGGTTTGCAGGTTTTCTCTCATAGTTTGGCTTTCTTACAATTTGGCATGTTCGACATGTGCATTGGACGATCGTAAAACCCATCAATCAGGCGAGACAAGGCGGGCTTAACACGTATCTCTCCAGTTGTGTTCGGCAAGAGCTCCCTCATGAGGGCCTCGTCGCTTTTCGGCGAAATATGCCGGCCCACTGGGGTTTGTTACGTGTACGTAGGTCCGGAGTTGCATTTACGAGTGATTACATGTTCAAGTGGAAATCACAGTGGAAATCAACAGTCAAGTCGGGAAATCAACTTCTGGAGATCGTTTTGACGATCGTGTTGGGGATCATAGTGGATGTTCGTTGAGGCTTACAGTCAGTTGCATTCCATCCAACCTTCGATCTTTTCCGTGCCAACTAGGTATTGGTGCCATGGACCCAGAGCGTAGCCCTCGTCGCCCTCAGTGTTACAGGACGAGATGCCCAGCCGCGACCAACTGTCATGCAACCACAGCATATGTCGTGGAACCCTAATCCGCGAACGGCTCAGAATATGAACCTCCCGGTTGTTCCGAACATTCCAGGATCGTCTTCCTTGCCCGCCGGAACAGGCGGTCCTGGCACGAGTGTTCAGCCTCAGCCTCAGCCAAGGGTCTTTGGACCCATGCTCCCAGCTGAATTTTCGCAGAATCCCAACTATTTCGACTCTCGCACTATTGCAGGCTTGAACTTGGCATGTTGGGTGAAGAAGACTGATTGGTCTGTCAGGAAGCAAATCGACGGTTGCCCATCGCATGTGATTCCGCTTCACTCGGTGTTATATCAAGGATGGGATTCATATTGGATTCGTCACATTGCTGAAGGGAAGCCGACATTCTTTGCAGGCTTTCGTTCCTTGGCCGAGGTCGTATTTTGCCATACTCTCTTCACAAAGATGCGTGACGAGAATATTGACTTGGATGAACTTGCCCGAATTGTACATGGTTCTCAGAGCAACATGCCCGGCGGCAGTCAGCCTGATGGAAAGGTTCAGGCCACACAGACGCTCGCCGCTCAAGTTGTTGAGTTCATGCTTGGGTTGTATCCAAATACTCCTGCGGACCCACAGGTTACGGCTATGGCAGAACAAATTAAGTTGTTGCAACAACAATTGGCCAGCTTTGAAGGGACCAATGCCACTCGCCGGATGCCCGGCGATGCTGCTACACAAAGCAAGACGTCGGACACAGGCATGGCTGATGCTCGCACTGGCTTGCCTATTGAAGTTGCTCCCGCTGAACCGTCGCCCGATGCAGCTCCGGCTGCCTCGAAAGCTCCTGATGGGTCAACCCGCCTACTTCGCGGCACACCGGGTGAGGCCCAGTCTTCTCTTATGCAAGCTTTCCAGCAAGGCAAGGCCTCGGATAGTCACATCGAGCCACACAGTGTGGCTGACATAAAGGATGCACCCTCTGGACCCTCCAGTGAAGGACCCAAGTTTGAATATGGCACTGCTTCTCGTGTCATGCATACAGTTCAGAACGTGAACGATGCCAAGAAGGATTTTCTCGTACGCCACTGGAGAACCTGCAAGAATGACAAAGAAGTTGGTGCTTGGATTGATGAGTTGACGTTGAGCAAGGCCAACCGGGCCAAGTTGGTGACTTGGACATGGCATGTGAAAAAATGGCACCGAGTCAGCTGCGACAACTGCTTGGATGACTTCACCGCCCATCCATTGTGATTGTGTCGCATCTGATGGATGTCGAAGATTTCTCGATCGAGCTCGATGAGCTCGTCGTTGGTCAGACATCCAAGGAAGCACCTCAAGAAGTCAAACTTCCAGGTGAGGTGCCGCGGCAGCACATGGGTTCCAGGGTTGCTTTCCTCGTAGCGCAGGACATGCGACAGGAAGGCCAACTGTCCTTCCAGAATGTTCACCGCGGCCATCTCCCCATGAGGGAAGTGCGCCGTGGTGTCCTGTTGGCGGAAGAACCGCGGAACACCTTCTGGGATGATCCTGAGGGAAGCCAAAGGAGCACTTCGAGGATAGGCTCGACGATCCCTTGTAGGATAGCCGGCAATACCGTCGCCATCTCCAACTGTTCGGAGTACACGACGGTCTGCCCAGGACGCACTTTTCTGGTACAAGGACAGGTCAGGAACACCAGTGCGGATGTCAACCTTGAAGTTGCATCCAGTCTTCGGTGTCCAGATAGCCTGAAATGGTGCCTCCTCATGAGAGGAGCGTCCAGTGTCCATCGAGGGTCCTGCCGCAGCCATGCTGGTAACAGAAGAAGAGGAAGTTGTGGGCTACTTTCTCACTTGAGTTTTGAACCAGCTGATTTGAGCAATGCAGGCACAAATTTAAAAAGAGACCAACAACTCTTCATGAAGCACATGCATTGAATTGCTCCGACAGCTCACACATGAAGCAGACATGACTCACAAACGCTCCTGCATGAACATGACATGTTGCACTGCACTCAAAACCGCGTACTCCTTACGGAGCCAGGCGTTCAAGAAGGCTTTGTGCTCAATCATGGAACGAAAAGGAGGATGTGAATCGATTTCCTTCAACCACCCAGTTTGAACAGAACTCAGGAGGTTTCTAGGATTAGCGCTTCGTTTCGTGAGACAGTCAGAAAGACAATGTTCGGTTCGAACGTGAGAAAGATCAGCAATAGCACCTGAACACGCTTCCTTTCTCAGCATTTGAATCATGTGAATGGTTTCCTGTTGTTCGGGTGAGTGAGTAGTAGAAGCGGTAGACACGAGATTGTTAGCATCGGTGCGAATGTGAATCTCGGCGTCCAGACCACTAATATCCTTCCACAAACCACGAAGCATTTGACAGGTACCAAAACACTTCATCAAAGCGTACAGTTCAGCGACAGTGGTACTAAGGGTCGTTCTCTTAATCTTGGTTGATTCGAAGAAGACCAATGAGCCTCTGGTGTCTCTTCGATTCTTGACCCTCTCATCTGCGATGAAGATAGTCATCGCCCTCTGTGAGGACTTATCGCTGTTGTTACGGAAAGCTGCGTCAGGAATTCCGAGAATCCTCGGAGATCCCTTCACTGGCCACACCCGCAACTCAACCTCTTCACTGCGTATCTGTCGACACAACTTGTTCAACTCCTTGCAGTGACCAACGGTCGGAGCAGCAGATGCTGATGCCAAACGAGAGAACTGGTAACATGCCTGAAATTGCGTCCTTGACTGAAGCCAGTTGATGCTACCAAGCAAAGAGCGATAAGAGGTGTGTAAAGCCTTGTCACACGCATCTGCATCCTTAAGATGCTTAGGTATGACGATCTCCTCGAGCTCTGAAACGCACAGCTTTTGATCGATCGATATGTATTTCTTCTTCCCTTGTGCATCAAGAACCCAACGAACACGCTGTCCCGTGAACGTAAGGTCATTCTTGTCCTCATGGCCGACAGTGAAGTGTTCCTTGATTTTCTTGAGGAACCAAGTGAGGAACTCAGGGGTTCCACTTATGATGAGATCATCAACATGAAGACTCATCACTCCAACTGTCCTGCGACCTTTGCTGGGACTTCCATGCACAGGGTCAACAAAGTGTTCAAGAAGCTGATCAACCAACTCGGGGGAGAGCTCTGATAAGCTCTCGACCTTGTATGAAGCCTTCTCTGGAAGGAACAAGGAGACTAGGACCTCAGCTTCTTCTTCAAGGAAGCAGGTCTTATCGCCCTTGTCCAACCTCAGGTCATGGGCCCTTTCGACAATCCACCATGTTCCTTTACGGAGGATCATGGAAACTCGATAAGGGTAGTCCTTGACCTGATAGACAGGTGCAGGAGTACGAAGAGCCTTGGCCCTGTGAGAAACGAGAGCATGCCCGTTCTCATAAGGGAACCAACCTCTTTTCTTACAAGCAACACTGCCCAAGAATCCGAGAAGCTTATCATCAGTCACAGGTCTCCAAGCATAGTCAACCATCTTCTTGGTATCGGTGTTAAAGCACTGAGCGATATCGGGACATGAAAGATAGGATCTCTCCTCCGCACGGTCGGAGGAAGAACGGTTTCCTTCATCGTATGCGTAGCATGTCATGGCATGAAGGGCAACCTCCTTGAGGTAGGCAGGTTCCACCTCAAGAGAGGTGCTTCCTGCTTCAGGTTCCTCCTCCTGAGAGGAGCTTCCTGCCGCAAGGTGGCTCTTGCCCTTCTTGCCTTCTATGCCGTCGTATGCGACATAAGTGCATCGGTCAGCTCTGGTCGGTTCCATGCCTACAGACCTGAGGAATTTGTCCAAACGATTCCACCATCTTCTCGGTGCATCGTTCAGACCATAGACTGGTCTGAGACAAAGGCCAACCATCCAGGTAGGCAAACCGATGTCAGGAGGCAACTGAACCACAACCATGCGAGATGACAGATTGTAGTGTTCCCCCTGAAGGAAAGCGGTCTTAAGATCCAAATGAAAAAGATCCCAATAGTGATTGGCAGCGCACTGCGCAACCAAACGGAAACCATACCGAGTAGCCGTAGGGCTGTCCGTTTGTTGATCCCAGGCAAACTTGTCCTGAAACCCACGACAAACCCATCGGGCTTTGAACTTGGAAAAGTAACCGTTCTTGTCAACCTTCACAGTAAGGACCCAACGT